TTCGGATTTTATGCTAGTTGGACTCTCGCCAGGAAAAAAAATTGAGCCAGAAATGCACGTCAAGCCGGCCGTCAGCTATGAAGCTTCTTGCCACCCGACATGGTGGAAGCTTCCTTTCAGCCCGCGAATGCATTTTAGCCATCAGTTTTCGATATCGAGGCGGTTCGTTTGCTTTTATTCCTTTCTCTCAGCATTGAACAGAAGGGTAATTTGGTCGTTTTAGGTCTCACTTAACATCTTCAGATGGAAAAGTTGACGGAAGTGTCGAATAAGGAACAAAATTTAGATTGAGTGTCAAATAAGGAAGAAATAATTTTTCAGGGCCAAATAGGGAAGCAAATTTTTAGGAAGGGCTAAATAAGGAATTCTCTTCAGGAAGAATGGAGGTCCGCAAGCCGTCGAGGACCATGGTGATAGAAGGAAGCCATGTCCGCGGGGAAAGACCAACTCCAAGAAAAAGGAGAAGCGTGATGCGGCATCATTTGCCTTGCAAGAAACTTTGAAAGGCATGATGACCCAATGGAGGAGGAGCGCCAGCAAGATACCTACATTGAGATATAAGGGAAGAAGCTCGAGATGGAGACGGAGATGCAAGCGAAGAAGCTCGAGATTGAGGCTACCAAAGACAAGACTAAACCAAAAGAAGTGGCGCTCGCGTGCATGATGAAGGAGGTGGAGATCATGAACATGGACTTGAGCAGTGTCCCCGAGAAAGAGGCCTTAGTTCAAAAAGATGCAGAGGGAGATGCTCAAGCTTGATGACTGATCCATGGCAGAGAGCGCCATCTTTTTTTATGCCGGCAAGTGTGCCAGCATGGCGACAGTCGAGACGCCCGCCCTTTTACTATGTGCTGGCAGTGTGTCGGTTGCTGGCATGGCGGAGAACTCTGTTGTTTTTGGAGGCTAGTACGGCCGCCGATATGAACTGTGGGCGCTGGCATGACCACTCGCAACTTTTTAGTTCATTTGCTTTCCACGCTGATGAAAATTGCGTCGGCCGTTTGGGCGCACAGGTCGAACACAGGCGGACATCGAGCGCCTAGCCGACCCAAACGGACAAAAAGCGGACAAACCGCGCGTCCGTTTGGGTCGGCGCGTTGGAGTTGCTCTCATACCCTAGGGCTGCGGGCGAGGGCGGGTGCGTCTCTTTTTTAGTTTTTTCAATGTTTTATATTTAATTATGTTTGAAGTGGACTTTGGCGGGCATTTTTAATATGTTTAATTATATTTTATTAATATGCATGTTTTAAATTAAAATGTTTTACGTGCCTATTTAGTTTTTTTAGACCGCGCGGACTAATGCACTTGCCTCATTGGGCGCACCAACGCCCCAAAATCCAAATTGGACAAAGTGCGTCCACTCAGCCGATCCAAACGGATAAAAAGTGGACAAAAACTGCGTCCGTTTGCATCAGCCGATTGGAGTTGCCCTTACACGTTTACTTTTCCTTTGCATAATAAATTAGAGTTCTTGGCTCCTCATGAACAAGGAAAGAGTCACTATCCAATGACAAGCGGATTTTTATGATGCGAGATATCGTTGCAACATATTGCTATTTTATCTAGATGCATGGATTAGTATGAACGCTACTGCATCATTACTTTCTGATAATTATAGTCTTTCACGTCGCTAGTATCAATTGCTAAGTGAAGGTTGGTAATTTCATAAGATAACTTATTCTTTGTTTTGATTGTCTTAAAAAGTCAAGGTCACAAAGAGTAATCCTAGGCATGATGCCTAGCCAAAAAATATTCATTGAGAACAAGTAGTGAGTAAGGTGAAACTCTCAAACCATATAGTAATAATGAATTGATGAACAAGAGCAAATGTGGCCAGTGAAAGTACGATATACAATTAGAATGTATTCTCAATTGACGGACAATGTGAATACATAACAACTGTCCTAGAACTGAAATAATAATTTCCTCCGTGGATTACTCTATAGCAGAAACTATTTTACCCGATGAGCAGCATGGCAGGACCGATGATCCAATATGTCTAAAGTAATATAACCCAGATAAATCCAGTGGTGTTGTATGCATAGGCTTGATAAACGCAGCATCGACCATTCATATGATGGGATACACCATGTGGCACTATATGAACGGACCATAAACCCACATGATTATGCTTGTGACCTTCGACGTGAGATGGAACCTTTATATGCTTCATCAGACCTCAAAGAAACGAAGCTCCACCATTGCTTCCTGATGCTTGGGCGAATACCAAGCTGTGGCCTTTGCTGAACCCAGAACCTTCAGGGCCCAATCAATGGCGAAGACCGAGTCGCCCACTCGAACAAAATGGTCTGGACTTCTTGGGTCAATGGCAACAGAAGATTCAACACGAAAGCTGAATGGTCCAACTATCTGCGCATAGAACAAAGGATAGCTTTACTGAGTGTTTTTAACTCTTTATGAACTGTCTGGTTAATTCATCTGCTTGGAATATATTGAAGTAAGGCAACAGGAGAAAAATAACCAAAAAGTACTTACCAATACTGATTCCTAAGTTCTAGGAAGGTGATACCATCTAACAGTAATAAAAACCATCAAGCCAAAAAAGGTAACTATACACAGGGGAAAAAACAGTATTTGCCACTTGAAACAAATGGTATTCATACATGGCATTCCATGTGTGACTGACATGTGGTGGCAAATAATTATCCTGTAGCTTCTGAGATTTCAGTAATGAAATGTGTTCCGCAATAACAGAGTAACTGGTGGGAGAAGTCATAAGCAATAGGACTTGCAATACAAGCCATAGACCCATAGTACCAGCTACCACGTACTTTCTCTAAGGCTCTAGGGTCAGTATCCACCTTACAGTAATAGCTAAGGAGTTGGAGTTCGACATCTAACCATAACCTAGTCCTAACTGATAACATGATTAAGCTCTCATGCGATGCATCCATTAGCAATAGATCAATATATGCTAGCTTCCCTTAATACTTGTTGCTACTCCCTCCGTTCCTAAATAGATGACTCAACTTTGTACTAACTTTAGTATAAAGTTGGATCATCTATTTTAGAACGGAGGGAGTACTTGTTAGTCCTCAGTGCCCAACTTTTCCAATCCTTGTGTACAGTTTGACAAATAACTGAAACGATAGAAGAAAACAAAAAGAGAGAGGAAAGAACCAGTATCCCGGCCATCAGTCAGAAAACTAATGGTAACTAGCAGAGTTCAATTACTGGATACCTCCTCCTAACAATTTGCTTATTGCTTTCAAGAAAAATGGTACTACCTCCGTCCTGGTTTATTAGTCCCCTTTGTAATCTGTGCCAAATTTTGACCAAAGATTTCACTAACAAAATGTTAATGCATGTCAATGAAAATTATATCGCCGGATTCATATTTGAATATAGTTTTCAAAGATATAACTTTTTGTGACATGCATGAACATTTTGTTAGTTAAATTTATGGTCAAAATTTAGGACGAAATACAATGAGGACCAATAAACCAGGACGGAGGTAGTACCCAGATAAAATTAACATATTACAGGACACCAATCGCTTTATGTGGAAAACTAAAATTCCACAGAGAGTAAAGATTTTTCATGTGGCTAGTTCTTAGAAACAGTATCCTATCCAAAGAAACTTGATTAGAAGAGGATGGATTGGTAGGAGGGCTTGCCCTTTTTGTAGTTTAGATGAATCTATTGATCATATGTTCATGAAAGGCTCCTTGGCTAGAATGCTGTGAAATATTTTAAAATGTGCTTTCAATTTGATTGACTTACCTGACAATACTGATGCTTTACTCAATAGTTGGTTGAATAATTTTAGAGCTGATGACAAACATCTGATGTTTACTGGAGTGGCTGTGGTCTTTTGGACCATTTGGAAAAGAAGAAATAGTACTATCTTTGACACTGCAAAAATTACCGACCCTTGTGTCGGGAAATACACTTCAGAACCTGGTTGTATATACACCCTATATGGGGATTTTTTTAATAATTAAACAAAAAGTCAAAATAGTTAAGAACTATTTTTAGAATAAACTTGACTTACTTTTGCAAGTATATAAGTTTTCAAGAAAAAAAAACAATGTTGACTTCATAGCGAAAAAGACAACATTTATTTGCTATTATAGGTCACTATTCACACTATTTTGGCCAAAAAATTGTCTTTTTTGAAAAGAAGTCAAAGGGGGATTTTCTTTTTGTGGAATTTTTCTCACGAGTACAATGGAAGATCAAGTTTATTTCAAAAATATTTTCAGAATTTTTTGACTTTTTATTGAAGTACTTTTTTTTCCATATAGGGTGTAAATGTCCTCATAGACCAAGCGTCCGCCTCCCCCTTGTGTCCTTGTTAATATGGTTGCTAGATGGCTTAGTGATTGGATTGTTTTGCAGAAAAAGCAGGAAAATCAAAGAAAGCTGAAGTGGGTGGTAAGAATGCTTGAGCAGACAGCAAGTGAAGTGTTTCGTGCAGTCGAGGGATGGCATTTTGCTGTGCTCAGGATACAATGAAGATCCGTGGAAGTGCAAGATGACGAAGGAGCTACTTTTGGCCTTTTTGCTGTTCTACCGTCTCTGTCTGCTCATGTACTAACCTGTAATAGATGAAACATGTGCACTTTGTTTCTGCTCCTTTCTTTATGTAGTTAGGAAGTGGAAAAAACTCCCCTATGTTAGCATAAGCAATGTCTCAAAGCATTGCTTCTCATCGTCCTGGGTGCCTTCTGATGGTGCACTGAAGCCCCTGGTGGATCTTCAGATGATCGTGGATCACCTTGATATATCTAGGTGCTCTAGGTCATATATAGCATATGCTGCTTTATATTTTCTGTCTGGTAGATGTAAGACATTGTGGTTTCTGTTAAATGAAATCGGAGGGAGAGCCCTCTTTGTCAAAAAAAAAGGACACCAATCAAGTTTTCCTAAAGAAAACATAGAGATGCACGTATGTTGTTTGATATATAATAGCATTGTGTCAACCTATTCCTGCTAGAAAGTGACAGTATAACTAAGCTCTTCGATACCTTGATTAATCAAATAGCAAAGCATGTCAGACAAAATTTCTTCCACCTTAGGGTTATTGGCTGAACTAAAAAAGATATCGAAATGATTTGACAGATCAAATCTGAAAAAAGAGAGTAAGAGTATCTTGCTTTGTGGCATGACAGTCTGCGTACAGAATGACCTTCTAGTTCTAGGTAACAGAGCACAAAGTGAAATGGAAGAAAAATATGACTCACCTGTTGTTGAAGAGAAACAATCACATCTGGACAAACATCACAGAATGTCTCTAAATCAGGCCGTCTAGAGAAGAAAAAATCTTGCGCTAATCGAGAAGCACCACGTAAGAACAAAGATCCTGAGGGTATATCTAATCGGGCACTGACCCTGGTCAAATCCAGGAAAAGCCTCTGGAAATTTCCATGTTGAGCTGTAAAAGTAACAGAAGCAAAGAGGTCTGCAAATGCAGCAAACTTATTCCTCTCGTGGAATACTCTGAAGGCATTGCTTTTTCGCATTTCGTCCGGCACTATAATTCTTTTTGAACAATCTCCCAAAGAACCACTGGCTACAGCACCTGAATGAATAAAATGAGGCAGAAAACAGTAAACAATTTGGTGCTGGCGACCTATAAATCCAATACAGGGCTATAAAGTAGTTCGCGATAATATATCCATTTTTGACTTGCAAAATCTTGTGATACATTGGAACACTAGGGAAAATGTTGGTCATATTATCATATATTCTTGAAATGTGACAATGAGCAGGACATGGCATGTGAGTGAAAATGTTGTCAAAAACATAACCTCTAAGCAAGTAGACCCAAGAACTTTTCTTGAAAGCAGCTTACAGAATGTGTCACTGAAGCTCAAGGACAGATTTTACAACTACAAAGATGTAATCAGCTTATCAGCACAACACTAAAACTGTAAAACATGGTAAGATTCTTACCAACAATTCCAGTGAATGAAACATGAGGGTCTGAGAGAAATGCATCATAAGGCTGAACCATTTTTAGCTTGTCTTCTTTCTTCCTCCAAGCATCAATACTTCTCTTGATGGAAATAGCTGCTTTAGCACACAAACCAGGTAGCAGAGCGAGAGGAACATCATTGGTTTCATCACCACCAAAACATTTTGGCTCCCCACTATTCTGTTGTAACAATAGATGATAACTCAATCCAGAACTGGAGCCGACTGAAGCAAGATCAGCTGACAATGATAAAGGCACATCCCAGTACACCCCCTGTTTATCAACAAATAATCCAGGCCAAGATGCTGCTAATGTAATATTTTGTTGAGGAAGCTGCAAACAGTAAAAAGAATGGTTCAGTTCATCCAAGCATTCAGAACAGCAACAGTAGCATTAGTTCAGTAAACCAGTCATCCCCAAAACAGAGCAAGATCAAGTATTCCATAAATCCATCACAACCTATTGATGACTACATGTCCTAATCGGCATGCATGAAGAAAATAAGATTTAGTGAGAAATGGCAGCACAAACATAACAGAATACACGCAAGTAGCTAACTATATGCCGAAGAGCCTAAGGGCATCCAGGTGTTTTGCCTTGTGGTGAATAATCGCTTTGCCTCGGTCCCCCTTGTTGATATTGTACAACTCCAGCAGCAATGCCGTGTCTGGTGTGATCAAGAATTCCGTGCCAACACCTAGAGAAATGACGTCATGCAAATGCCTCTCGAGATCATTGGACCAGGGAACCCCTTGTCGATGATTTGACAGCTTCTCCTTCACGGCTGTCACGAGCTTCTGTACATGAAGCTGCTCCAAGATAGTAAATGACCTGCACAGATCACATTAAGTTGTTAGTGAACATGAGTCTGGTCAGATCAACTGCAAAAATGTCTTATATTTAGTTACAGAGGTAGTACTTGTTACACATGAATTAAAATCATTGCAATTATACAGTTCGTCTTCGTGCAAGCAGGCAAGGTTCAAATAAACGAACACAATAACCAGACACAAGGCATTCAGAAACAACTACCTAAGAAATCTACGACTAATGTTCCATCCACTCGGATGGGGCTGGTACGTGTGGAACCAGTATTGGAATCGGCACCTGGTATACCACATTTCACTACCTATCAACCGCGGCAATCCTTGGAAGGGTGCAGATACGTAAGTAGGACCGTTTCCCGCAGGATTGTTGGTGAGTTAGGTTGTGAGGGGAGGGGGGTTACCAGTTGTGGGCGAGATGGAGGAGGTGCGCGTGATGGAGGGAGAGGCCGGCGCGGGAGGCGGAGAAGGAGGGGACGAGCGGGGAGGCCATGAAGCGGTGGAAGAAGTCGAGCTGCTTGGTGCGGGTGACGCGGGGCCCCCGCGAGAGACCGAGGGGCAGCGGGTCGCCCGGGACCGGGCGCGCCGTGCCCTCCATCGTCGCCGGGGACTCCACGTCCAGCTCCCACCTCCCTTCCCTGTCCGTCAGCCATCGCATCTGCCGCAACATCGCCGCCGACGCCGCTTTCGCCGGGCTTTTTCTCGGATTGTTCTTTCGCTTTGTGCTGCGTCCGAGTGTTGCAGCTGTTGCGGTGCGTCCCAAAGATAGGGGGGTGACGAGCCACGCTGGCTGTGACGGAGCATGGCGACTGCCTACGTGGCAAATAACATGTAAACTGGGTCTTTTTTTTTCAGAAAAAAACAACGAGCCTCGTCCATTTCTGCTAGAGAACCCACCACAAGTAAACTGGGCAAATAGGTGCTGATTACTCTCCTTTTTGCAAAATATGATTAAACTGGTACTGGATCTAACATCAATCCGTTGTAAGCCCAAATTTTGTAGGAAAAATGCTCCTATTTTCTTATTGTTTTTTATATATAGCTGACCACTCTTTCCAAGCAGTGAAAAATGCTCCTATATACAGCGAAATTAAAACGCCTGGATTCAGTAGAATTTTACTGAAAACAGGCAATTCCCACAAATAATCCAGGAAAACCGCACGTACCAAGGACCTCCCGGCGGCATGCAGAACATAGGCTTACAACGAGAAGATGAAATCTTTCATTCATGAATAGAGATTCCATCGGTTCATTATACATAAGCTTTGCACAAATTAAGTTACATAAACTGCCGGATCTCCGCTGTGTAACACTTCACATGGTCTGCTAAAAATCACACTGGTCATCATTCTTATTCCTCACCAAACCAAAACAAACGACCACGACAGTCGCTTACTGTAAGAATCTAATCGTGTAAAAACTTACAACTAGCTAATGACTTTAGCTGTACTGGCACACGGCCATATAAATTACTTGCACTCCCGCAAAAAATAATACTTACACATCGCAACATATCGCGAATCAGCAGTCTTTGCCCAGTATCCAGGAGCTTGGTGCAGCCCAGCAACTACGGCCACACAGTCCTTACCAACTTGCAATTCTTCTTATTTCCATCGCCCAGTCTCCGCGCGTGATTAGACATAGAGGGAACTCGTTGACACCAATGTTATTGATCGCCGGAATAAGAATGGACGTCGTGTGCAAGCGTCTAAGAGGTGCTTAAAGGATTAGCAACAATTCATAGTGAAACAACGAACAGTTGTGGATACAACAGAGTAATTCGTCGATGCAACCAATGTCAATGTAGCACGTACCCTAGGCTTGTTTTCAACAAATTTAAGTGGAGGCCACATAGTTAGTATAGCATGTACTCCCTCCGTTCCTAAATATAAGTCTTTTTAGCAATTTCAATATGGACTACATACGGATGTATATAGACATACTTTAGAGTATAGATTCACTAATTTGCTCCGTATGTAGTCCATATTGAAATCTCTAGAAAGACTTACATTTAGGAACGGAGGGAGTACAAATAGTGTGCTCATGTCGATGTTCTTTTACTATTTTTCTTTACAGATTTGTAACACAGTAACAGCTATTGTGGTGATTTTCAGGTACGCAGATTGTTCAAGTGACCTGGAGTACTTTTCAATGTGCTGCGTTGGTAGTTTCACGACATCAAGTAGATATGATAAATAGTACTCCCTCCGTCCCATAATATAAGAACGTTTTTCAAGCTTTGTTAGTTTGAAAAACGTTCTTATATTATGGGACGGAGGGAGTATATTCTACCTCTGCCTACTCCCATTGGCACAAAACGCTCTTAGCAAGAGGAGAACTACTTGAAGGCAAGTGGCAAAGAAAATAACTTCACTAGGCAAATCAACAGAATGCCCTTTCCTAAAACCATGTCTAACATTCTTTTTACATATTCCAAGGCATTTGCAGGAGTGATTGTGTCATCCCTTTACTGCTATAACGTGTCTTCAGTGATTGTAGTGGAGAATTGCCACTCTAAAGGCTCAGGTAATAAACTCGAGCACAATGCAAAATGACAAAAGGTAACAGGACACAATATTATATGGATCTGTGCATTTACCTGTTCTTGTGATCGAAAATACATGAATGGAGTATAGTGTAGAAAGTTTGAAACCCTTGAAGTGTATATATCAGCATATCTACAACAAAGGAAAAATAGTTGCATTTACACAAATAAGCCAGTGGTCTGTAAAATATGCAGCAATATGAAAACATAACCACTCACTTCTCAATTTGCCTGGTTAGATGACTCTTGTCCCATAGGCCAGCGCGTGACAGCCAACCCCATCTTAAAGAGGAAATAACATTTGCTTAGTTTATCTTGCTACAATTAGATCGTATGCAACGAACCAGGAGATATATGAACGACATAGGACATTAGTTCCAGAGTGACGGGAATTGTAGACGTTAGAAATAAGAAGCAAAATAGAAGTTATGCCCTGAAATTTTTACAGCTGCCAAACTTAACAGCCATTTCTTCTGCAAGGAACACATTTGATGTGGAAGATATGCTGGAAACGACACATTTGATGTACGTCTTTGACATAAAACATGCTCATAGGAACTTGGCAGTAGTGATTGTTATACCTTTTATTGAAAAGTTCTCCATCTGATTCCAGCAATGGCACGATCTTTTCATCTAATCTCTGCATAACAATGAGCAACTTTTGCATACTTTCTGTAAGCTCCTGATCATTCATACAAGTTGCAGCAAGCGTCTGGAAAAGAGTGAAATCGAGATATTAGCGCACGCATATTAAGAACTCAACAAAATCGTCAGAGCCTGCAAGCAGAAACAAAATCACGAGACTATCTTTGTTTTTGGCTTAAGCTGTAGGTAGTTTCTATGCTGCACCAGTGTTCAGTGAATTGCTGAAATTGTGTTGTTAATTGGTAAAATCTCAAGCTACACGAGGGAAAGAAAATTGAACATGTTAAATCTTACAAAGGCATTTCTTCACCCTACTACCTGTGCAGGGCGTGAATTTGTGCGTCTCTGCAGAGCCAGGCGAAGTTGGTTGAAAAGGTCTCCAACAATTTCCTTTTGTTGTATAAGTGTGACAAGCTTTTCTTTCTGAGCATGGCTTTTGATTAGTGCGTCAAACTGCAATACAGGAGGGGGAAAATTGGTAGCTAGAACAAAGATACTTTTATCAGCAATATGGCACAAACATTAAAACTAAATATAATCCTTTTCTGGGTTCTGTTTCAGAGAATTCAGGATCAACAGATGCAAAATATTTCAAATCGACATGGTTAATAGGTAACTGCATCATCAGAACTCAGTCCCTCCAAATCAACATGCTGCAAAGTACTTAGATCCCTCTAAAATTGTGATTTCATCAGTTCAAAATAGATAGACCTAAGTAGCATGCTTCATGCTTATGCTGAGTTTAGGGACCAAAGAAGGTGACGAATTTATGTACCTAAGTGGGGCAATGGGAAAAGTCTAAGGACCTCTGGTGCAATTTACTCAAGCAAGTAAATTATGTTAAAATGAGTTCAGAAATAAAATGCAATACAGGGAAGCTACCAGTGATAGACTAATAAACTTTTGATTAAAAAAAGCTTATTTGCCTCCTATTCGTATACCTAGAATGTGATATAGTAATTATAAATGCTATTTAGAACTCGGTTTTGTATTAATTGGTGAGAAAAGTAAGCAACCTAACCTCATCTTCCAGTTCTCGGCATATTAATGCTGTCCTCCATCGTAAATGAACCTTTGATTGGCTCACATCTGTAAAAATATGGTCCCCCACATATAATATTTCATCTCCATGAATATCTAGTGACTTCTCAACCATCTGAGCACTACCACCAGAGTACAAGCCACCTAAATACCCAATTAAGAGAAGAGTAATAAGTCAGTCAACACACACAAAAAATCCTGGTCAAGCCGGCACATCAGAAACAGACACATGAACAGAAAAGAAACAAGACATCAAAGTTGCAGGATCTAGCTACGTAAGCATAAAAAGGCCAAGGAAGGGAGCTAGCTCATCTGTGGATGAAGATGAACAATGAAACTATAACTGCAAATCATCTTTAAGATCCATAATTATTTTGCAGAAGGGTGTAGTGAAGCAAACCTCACGACTCACGTTATAATACCAAAACAACTACATGTACATGTCTCTTATGTGGTTGCTGGCACATGCACTTTGTCTTAGTGGCTATAAAATGGTCAGCTTGCATTTAGATCATATAAATTCATATGTTAGAGCTTTTATAAATGGTATGCATAATTTTTTTATTCCTATCTTATCATGAAGTGTTATTTTATTTTTACAAGTATTTATTTCTCGGTCAAGAGGGCAGGCCTGGCGCAGTGGTGAAGTTCTCCCCACTTGTGCCAAGAGGTCCTGGGTTCGAACCAGCCTCTCCGCATTGCACTTTGCAGGGGTAAGACTAGGTTCCTATAATCCCTCCCCAGACCCCACCTTGTGTGGGAGCTTCTATGCACTGGGTCTGTCCTTTTTTATTTATTTATTTCTCGGTCAATCTGAAATATGTCTACTAGTACTTATATGATATTTCATTCAATACTTTATTTTGTTTTAAAGAATTGAGCTTACAAATCAATTATTACCATGCATATTGGCAGTCTAAAATTTGAATGTGGTTCATTACAGTGCAAAAAGAACAGAACAAGTCGAGATTCTAAGAATATAAATATAGAAGTTAGATCACAACAGTAACAATGTTGAGATTTTCACCTGAATTTGCCTTAAAACAGGGACGTAATAAACCATCGTCAGTGACAACCTCGTACAATGGATGTGAAATTTGGAAAAACTCTGGTTTCCTCGCGGAGACTATAACCTACATTAATACAGAATCGACTAGTCTTCATGAAGTTTGAGTATGATGATAAGCAAAGACTGAGACACAGTTACCTTCAACGTTATCAACATAGAAGGGACATAAATACTCACCATTTCAAATAGATCTCTCCATCCCATGTCATTAGGAAGAAAGCGATTGAATGCATGATTCATCATTTTGTTTGTATAGTGGTAATCTGAGTTAGTAATAAGAAGCAACCTTTTTCCAGCCTGATGAGTTGAAAAGGGAAAATAAGTCATTTAGTATAGTAGTATAATGGCTCAAATATTCAAATGGATCATG